AGGAATCTGTACATGGACCAAGAGGCAGTTGTTCAAACAGAACATGAGAACACTGAATGGTTTAAAATTAAGAATGGTGTGCGACAGGTTTGTATTTTTTCACCATACTTATTCAACCTGTATGCTGAGCAAATAATCCAAGAAGCTGGGTTTTATGAAGAATTGGAGGAAGACTCATTAACAACCTGTGATATGCAGATGATACAATCTTGCTTGCTGAAAGTGAAGAGGACTTAAAACATTTACTGAAGAAGATCAAAGACAACAGCCTTTGGTATGGATTACATCTCAATGAAAGAAAACAAAAATTCTCACCGCTGGACCAATAAACAACATTTTTATCAGTGGAGAAAAGATTGAAGTTGTCAAAGACTTCATTCTTAGATCAACTACCAACACTCATGGAAGCAGCAGTCAAGAAATCAAATGACATATTGCATTAGGTAGATCTGCTGCAAAGACCTTTTTAAAGTGTTGAAGAGCAACGATGTCAGCTCGAGGACTAAGGTGCGCCTAACACAAGCCATGGTATTTTCAATAACCTCATATGCATGTGAAAGCTGGACAGTGAATAAGGAAGACCATGGAAGAATTGACACATTTGAGTTTTGGTGTTGGAGGAGAATATTGAAGGTGCCATGGGCTGCCAAAAGAACCAACAGTTCTGTGTTGGGAGAAGTGCAGCCAGAGTGCTCCTTGGAGGCCAGGATGGCCAAACTTTGTCTCTCATACTTTGGACATATTGTCAGGAGGGACCAGTCGCTGGAGAAGGATATCATGTTTGGTAAGGTGGAGGGTCAGAGAAAAAGAGGAAGACCCCCAACGAGATGGATTGACCAAGTGGCAGCATTGATGCACTCAAGTGTGGCAACAGTAGTGAGGTTGGCCCAGGATCGGGCAGTGTTCCGTTCTGTGCATAAGGTCACTGTGGTACCTACTCGATGGCACCTAACAACAACAACATGCCGGGTGTATGATTCTTGGTTGGCAGTTTTTTTCTTTAGAATGTTGTGTATGTCATCCCATTGCCTTCTTGCCTGTGTGATTTCTGCTGAGAAATCAGAGCTTACTCTAACTGTTTCTCCTTTATAGGCAACCTTTTGTTTTTCCTGAACTGCTCTCAGGATTCTTTTCTTGTGTTTGGTTTTGGAAAGTTTGATTATGATAATTCCTGGTGATTTTCTTTGGGCATCTATCCTGATAGGGTTCGTTCAGCTTCTTGACGTATGCTTCAAGTCTTTCATAATGTTAGAGAAGTTTTCTTCCAACAATTTTCTCTTCATGCTCTGGCATTCTGATGACCCATAAGTTGTTAACTCTTAATGGTATCCCACATAACTCAGACTTTCTTTGGATTTTTTCATTCTTTTTTCTTAGTGTTCTTCTAGTATACTAAGGTTGAGAGATTTATCTTCAGTGTCACCAATTCGGGCTTGTATGTCTTCAAATCTCCTCCTTAGCCCTTTCATTTCTGAAATCTTAGTATTATTTTTCTGGATTTCTATTAGCAGGTTTATATTTTAAAATTTGCATTCATTTTGTCTGTTCCTATAGTGTTTCCCTAAATTCTTTTAAAGTCTTTTCTGTTTCCCTTGCTTTCCTCATTATTTCTGTCAATCCTCTGAAGGTAGCTAAGTATCATTCTTTTGAATTTTTTCTGTTAGTTCCAGTACCTTTTTTTCCTCAAAAACTTTTCTAGCTTTGCTTTGCATCTTGTTCATTTGTTTCTTCATGTGTGTTCTCTTGTTTATGTGTGGTAAATTTGACTTGTTTCTCGGACATGGTGTCATCGTATTTATTGATTATTGTATGCTGGTGTGTTCTTTGACTCTCACCAAGTGTCTCCTTTGTATGTGGTTCTCTGTGCACCTTAGTTTAGGGTGGTTTTGGCTGGTGTTGGCTGCTGTCTATTGTTGATCGGGTGGTATAGGAGCTGGTGTTGGTTCTTTCCCAGGGAGTGGAGCTGCAGAGATTAGGGTTGTTGTTGAGCTCTATGGGCACAGTTACTGTCTCTTGTTTAGGTGGGAAAGAGAAGAAATGAAACACACACACACACACTAGAAAACAAAACAGAGTAAGCAGATAAGCAACCAACAATGAAAAGAGAATAGAATAAAGGAGAACAAAGAAGTAGCAACAGGAAGAAATGAGAAAAAGAGATTATAATAACTAGAAAGAAAAGAGGGGCAGGAAAATTTGAACTATGGAAGTGGAAAAATAAAAGGAAGAAATTTTTAAAAAAAAACCCAGCACAAAGGGAACATGAAAAGAATAGAGAGTAGTAAAGAAAGAACAAAAGAGGGTTAAAAAAAAAAAAGTGGAAATGAGAAATAGAAGAAAAGAAAAAAGTGGAGATAGTTTTAAGTGCCATTGAGTCGGTTCCAACCTATAGCGACCCTGTATAGGTTTTCTGAGGATTGAATGGTGAGCTAAGGAAATGGAAAGAAAGCAGATAGAATAAAACAAAAGCAATGAAGCAAAAAAAAAAAAAAAAAAAAAAACACAAAAAAAACCTAATCACCACCCCCCAAAAAAAGGCAGTGCAGCTGTTGGATCTGGTGAGGCGAGAACTCTGGGGGTCTTAATGAAGCTGGATTCAGTGTCTCTTTTTAGCTAAGACCACAGTACAGCTGTGGGCAGGGTGGCTGGTTGTCAGGGTCTCTGCTTAGACTAGGTGTGGCACGGCACTGCAGGTTAATGCACTGGACTGTAAAGTCAGTTTAAAACACAAGGTTGACTATTCAAGCTTACCAACTGCTTTCCTCAGAAACCCTGTATACAGGGTTGCTATGAGCCGGAACTGACTTTATGACACTTAACAGTAACAACAACAATGCTTGTGTGGTGGCTCTGTGGTTGTGTAGGTCTGGAGTCAAACCCACTTGAATACAGGCACCAGAGTAGTGCAGCTGGCCCCACCTCACATTAGCGTGGCTTACAACCTTGGGACTCCAAATTCTCAGAAACAGGGCTGCAGTGGAGATGGACATAAGTGGGAACTGGGGACACCTCTGGCCACTTGCGAAGCGTGGGAAAAATATAGGAATCCCACCTTTCCCGTTGCCCCTGGTGAATCTGCTCTGCCAGGCTACCTTCTGTTGATAATCTTGCTCATAACAGTTTCAGGTCATTGCACCATATCATGGCTGGCTGTCCACCTATCAGTCTCCCTCTCTCACTGTTCCTGCTCAGCTTCTCCTCCCGTAAAGCCTTCATTCCACCTCTATAATCTTTCCTTTGAAATTCAGGCTCTGTTTCATTTGGTCTTTCTTATCTTTGTTGCAAAAGGTCCATGTAGTGTGTGTGCCCACTCTGCCATCTTGCCTGAAGTATAACGTTAACATTTTGATGAATGTGTTCCATAAGAAAAACGTATAGGACATTTATCTGTGTTTAAGACAAAGGAAAATCAAGTAACAGGTTTTTCTGTTTTTCTCAATTGGGAAACAGGAGTCTTGAGAGGAGTAGTACAGTGAAGCAGTGGACCCCAGCTTTCCTTGCTCCTGTTATTTTAATGTTTCATGTGTTTAAGAGTATCATTGTTAAGAGTATTTCTAGGTCTTGTTGTGGTGACTGTTCCCTGAGGCCATATGACTTTGTGAAAACAGCATGGACTTTGTCTTCAGATTTTTAGGTTCAAATTCTTACTTATTTACTCACACATTAGGAAAAAAATTTTTTTAACTCCTCTTCATCTGCAAAATAAAGGTAATAATACCTATGTTAAATTATGAGGATAAAAATGGATTAAGATCATATATATAACATTTTGCTAGAGTACCTGTTTGGAGTCCTGCTGTGGCACTGTGGGATAAAGCACTGGACCTCAAGGTTGGTTTGAACCACAAGGTGTCCAAGGTTCATACTCACCTTGGAAACCCTATACCAGGATCGCTATGTGTTGGAACCAACCTGAAAACAGAGCTTACTAGTACCTGTTACATAGAAGGTGCTCACTAAATGGGGATTTCTGTTGCTGTGTACGTCTTTAAACGTGATGAAATTTCAGGGTTTTGGGGTTTGTGAAAATAGATTGTTCAGGGAGTTTGAGTAAGCTGTGTGATTGCATAGAAGGGTGTAACTTCAAGGATGAGTTTTCCCACTAAAGTTAAATGCATTTGGGAAGCTTACTAGTTAAGAAATTCTAGTGAATCATTTTGCAAATGATTTTTAATATTTGTTTCTTTTAATAGCTTATGTCTTAAATACTCCAAGTTGAAGAAAACAGAGGTCTTCTCATCTGTGTGTATTGAAATATATATACATGATACACCTAAGGACTGAAACTTCTACAAAGGATAGGCATTTGGAAATGTAAATGATAAATACATATTTAACCATTTATATTTTCAAATATACATAGATCCTTTTTTTTTTTTTAATCCCCAAGAACATGAATGAAAAAATAGAATCCTTAACCACTATTTAATTCCCCAGAGTGTGATTCTGTGGGTTAATGCGCCAGACTGCAAAGCCATTTGAACTGCAAGGTCGGCAGTTCAAGCTCACCAGCAGTTCCTCAGAAACCCTAGACTGGGTTGCTATGGGTTGGAACTGACTCGACAACACTTAGCAACCACATTTAAATCCCCGCTTTTTAGATCTATTCTGTTTTACCTTTTCTTATTTCTGTCTTATATCTTAGAATACCAACCTTGGGAAATTTTGTGTTAAGTTGCTAATTCCTTAATTTTTTGTGTAAATTTAGATTTCTTAAAAATTCATATAGAGGCGATGGTATAGAGAGAATTAAAAGTTTTTAAAAAGCTCATATAAAGTTCAATGTACTATGTACCTATATGGAAGAAACCAAACCATTAGCTTCATATTTTAATATTTTTATTTAATAAAAGTTTCTGTGATTTTATATCAGTACTTTTTGACTTATCCTCATATTTAAAATTTGCTTTGATATTAGAAATACCATGGATGGTTAGTGACTAGTGTTTTAATGCTCCTTGTGGTGTATCATTTACACATTTATGTGTTGTGTGTTTTAGGCCATGACCATAATGTTTCTTCAGTAGCCATCATGCCCAATGGAGATCATATAGTGTCTGCCTCAAGGGATAAGACTATAAAAATGTGGGAAGTGCAAACTGGGTAAGTAAGTTTATTTGAAAAGGCATACTTTTAAAAGGGTTTTCTGAGTGCTTCCATCATTTTGACGGTAATTCAGAATAGTGAGTTATATTACATACTATAAAACTAGGTGTTTAATCTCTGTCTTCCATAGGAGCAGGGTCTTTACAACAGAGACTCATGTCCTTGAAAGCCATTTCTATATAATGACTTGCTTTCTCTGTGATTGTCTTTTTAGTAGTCTTCTAGTGGGTTTAAATTAAAATGTTAATAGCATTCAGGCTTGGTATGCCCTTCTAGGCTGTATTTGATTGTGCTTTGAATTAGATATGATTGTTATAATAAAACCTTAACCTTTATCCAGATTTAATAGCTCATGCCTTTTTCTCAACATGAATAGAAATGTTTTAGAATTTATTGTATGTGTTTAATTTTGCAAAGAATTTCTATTTCAGTAGCAAAAATTTTGCTGTTTTAGTTAGCTTCTTAATGTTGCTCTTATTAGTCTATTTTAACTGATTGGTTGACTTTTTAGCCTGTTTGGCTTCATCTTTGATTAACCAGGATGATTGTACATGTATTCTGTTGACTTTCATGTGATTTAACATGGGGCCATTCCCTTCATCCAATACATAGCTAGTTTTGTATCCCTTCTGGGACAGTGTCCTAATGCTTGTCATTTGCAGTTGTAACAAACATTGTTACTTTTATTGACAGCTACTGCGTGAAGACATTCACAGGCCACAGAGAATGGGTACGTATGGTGCGACCAAATCAGGATGGCACGCTGATAGCCAGCTGTTCCAATGACCAGACGGTGCGAGTATGGGTGGTAGCAACAAAGGAGTGTAAGGCTGAGCTCCGAGAACATGAACATGTGGTAGAATGCATTTCCTGGGCTCCAGAAAGCTCTTACTCTTCCATCTCTGAAGCAACAGGATCTGAGGTATGTGTGGTTTTATTGCTGATAATCTCAGAACTTTCCTGATTCTAATTTCCAGGGCCATTGATACATTTAAAATTCCAGCTCCCAGAATTCTAAGTCTCAAAATTCTTTACTCCTTCCAGCCTGCAGATGTATTTATATTTTAACCAGTGATTCCTATTGCTACCAGCTGACTCTGTACAATGATGTGTAATGTAAATGTAAAGTGCTCATTTAAAATATAACAGATACAAGTTTTATAAGAGTATAATGTTGTAAAATGCCAATGTTTTAGAAAAATAACCTTTATAATAAACAAAACTCTTTTATTGGTAAATTTATGGTAAAACTAAGTACATTGTTCAATGAATATTTCATACAGAGGCTTCTGATACTTAGTTGACCACTAGAAAACTACATGAGTCTGGAGTTTTATTATATTTCCTCAAGATTCTTAATTTGTGTTTTTTATTCTTTATGATCAATATCTTAAAAATAAATTGTTGTTGTTGTGTTAAGTACCATCAAGTCAGTTCTAACTCATAGTGAACCCTGTCTAGGTTTCTGAGGAGCTGCTGGTGGGTTTGAACTGCTGACTTTGTGGTCCATAGTCCAGTGCTATTCCTACAGTACCACTATGGAATGTTACTTCTGGAGTGAATAAGTTATATGGGCCAAAAATGGACATTTCTGTTCCTATCATATAATGTTAAAAGTACATTTAAATAAATGAAGGAGGAAAATCTCTTGTTCCCCCCAACATAGTATTTTTCTAAATCAAGCAAGCCTTTGTTTTGGCAGGCTGTTGTACTTTCAGATTTTATATACTGCCCTCTAGTGGTGGTCGTTTACCATATGTCATAAATTTGATTCGGGCTTGATTTATATGCTGAATTAAATAGTTGTTAAATCTTGATTACAGAAGTCTTGAGCAGTAAATTTATCATCTGGTTGTACTACAGAAACGAAATCTTAACCCTAGTAGAGGTGTTTTCTGTTTTTATATTACCTTGGGTCCTTCCTGTAGAGCCTGAATGTAGTATCAAAAGGCATGTTTTGTGCATTTTGATAATTATTTTTAATTTTCATTTTTTTCTTTTAAATCAGGTCATTACTTTCAAAATGCTTTTTAAGGTCCTTAGCTAAAATTCTTATATGGAATACTTATACATTTTTTTCTATAGACTAAAAAAAGTGGCAAACCTGGGCCATTCTTGGTGTCTGGATCCAGAGACAAGACTATTAAGATGTGGGATGTCAGTACTGGCATATGCCTTATGACCCTCGTAAGTTCATACCATTTGCTGCTTTTCTACCTTCACCATGCTTATAGACCTTTCTGGGTTAGATGCCTTGTGAGATTTTATTAAATAGTCTGAAACAATTCCAAGCTTTAAAAAAACTTTTTAAAGCTTTGAATTTTACAGTGATAGGAAATTTGTCTTTATAGACTGTCATATACTCTACAAAGTCAGTCATTCTTGAGGGAGAGCCTAACTCATTGTATCTTTGAAATTTGTACAATACCTCCTAAGAAGGGGAAATTGTATTTTAATACTCCTCATTTTTAAGTGGTTTACTTTTATATTTTGCTGCATTTAATTTCAGTATGAATACTTAAATTATCCATACCTGTTCATGTAGTTCAGTTGATTTGATTTATTTTATCATTCTGGAATGAATGCTTCTAGTTTATTTCACTTGGAAATGCTTTATTTCAGTATGAGGATGTATACAAGGAGATCTGTGAACATTAATCCAGTAGTAGTTTTTATAATGGGGCATCCATGTTTGCTTACAGATTCTTTAGATACCAACTGTATTTAACAGTGATTGTCTTCTTTTTAGGGTGTTGTTGACAAGTGATTCCAAGAATTTATTTATTAAATAAAACTAGTAGGTTTCTGAACTGAGTTCAGTTCCATTCTGTTGCTATTAGAAAAGATTATATACATATATAAGTCTTTATTTTGAATTGAGTGTAAGTTTACAGGGCATATTAATCAGATTCACTAAATCATATTTTGTTTCATTGCAATGATTACATTCCTCTCCATGTACTATCTATCAGTCAACAGTATTTACCTCTATTCCCTTTTTTTTCCTTGATGTACATATACAAAACAGAAAATGCATGCATATTCATTTAAATGTCCAAAGGACACACTTTGCAAGCAGCTCATAGGCACACAGCTTTTCTCAGTCGATGGGCCTAGAGTCCTCAGCTGTCAGCACTTGTCTGATTCAGATCCTGTGTTCTATTCATGCTCTTCATTCTTGTTGGTCCTAGGGTACTGTTGCCGAAATGAAAGATTAACTATTTTTAATTACACACCATTTACATTTACAGTTATGGCAATCACAGTTAGTCCTGATAACAATTATACACCGTTGAATCATAAAATCCTATCCTCATTTTCTCCCATCCCCTTTCACCAGATCCATCTGGAAAAGAAGAAAACTGTTCATCCAGGATTCTACTTTACCCACCTCATTCATACTCATGAAAGCTTGTAAGACAGCCACTGTGTGCCTTTACGTTGTTGTTAAGTGCTATCGACTCATAGCAACCCTGTGTAGGGTTTTCAAGGAGCCGGCTGGTAAGCTTGAACCGCTGGCCTTGAGATTCAAACTGACCTTTCAGTCCAGCGCATTAACCTGCAGTGCCACACCAGGCACCCTCCACCCCCCTGTTTTTGATAGCCAATGTCTAATTTGTCTGTCCCTTTCAACCCTGTGTATTGAGGCAGCAAGCTTGATCCTTGACATGCAGACTCTTCTTCAGATCAAGAGGCTTCTGCTTCGTTTTGTTGTGGCCACAAGAAGTGAAATCGGATTGTGCTTTTGGTGATGATAAATGAGGGTAGCCTGGGTTGTCTTTTTTTTAATTACTTAATTTTTTCAACTTTTATTGCGTATTGAGTGAATGAAGGTGTACAGGGTAGATCATCAGTTTTACATTCAACAAATCATTGTAATGATTTGTGACCATTGCCATTAGGCCTGATAACAGTTAAAAGTGAATCCTAAAATCCAATCGACCTCATCTCCAGATCTATCTGGATCAGTGTAATATACTCATTGTAATGATTACACTCTACTCCATGCATCTTCAGTCAACAGTTTTTACCTCAGGTAACCTTTCTTTTTTTTTTTTTTGTATACATACCACAGTGAAAATACATACTCATTTAAATGTCTAAAGGGCACATTTTGCAGGCACACTGCCTTTCTCAGTCCATGGGCCTCTGCTGATTTCTCTGTGCCATCGACTCTGCCACCAAATCTGTTGTCACCACTTTTCTGATAAGGATCCCTCACTCCTCTCATATTATTTATTCCCTCTTATTGGTCCTAGAGTCCTCTGTTCCTTAAATGACAGATTAACTGCACCCCCTTTTTGTTACACCTCTTGTACATTTTCAGTTGTTACCATTGCCGTTAAGCCTGATAACAGTTAAAAGTGAATCATAAAATCCTATCCCCCCTCATCACCAGATCTATCTGGATTAGAGGAAAACTATTCAGTAGGGTTTCTGTCTTACTCTTCTTGTTTTGACAGTTAGCACCCTCATGAAAGCTTGTTAAGCTTCGTGCCTATATAGCCCCCCAATTTTATAGCCGAAATGTAAATTGCCCGTTCCCATCAACCCAGTGTACTAAGGTGGCATGCTTGATCCTTGATATGAAGAATCCTTCCCTATTTGGTTCAAATTTTGGGCAGCTTCATCCATAAACAGAGGTTCAGTTGATGAGCTTGTAGCAATTTACGCTTGCTCCTTTTATCATATTTCGTTATCTTCATCTGGTCAAATTCTGGTCAATAAGCCGTCCACACTAGGTCAAATGGGTATTATCTGCAAGTTTGGGAGTTTTCACAGCGTTATAAGTTAGGCTGCTGACCTCAAGGTCTGCAGTTCAAAACTACCAGCTGTTCTGCGGGAGAAAGATGCTTTTTGCTCCCGTAAAGATTTACAGCCTCAGAAACCCTAAACAAGGTTGCTAATGAGTTGGAACCGCTCCACCCTCTTCAGACCAGCTGGCTGCTTCACTCTTAACTCTAGTCCCCAATGGGGATAGGTCAGTGTCATTGGGCTCGGGAGTTCATATGTTTCCTTGAACTTCAAACCAGCTAGCTCATCTTTTCCTCTCATCTCAGAGTCATTGGATATCTATGGAACTTGACCAGTCTCAGCCTATGTCTTTGCTGCATCCCTTCTCCCGTCCCACCCTCCCCCCACCCCCAAACTCACAAGTTGACCAGGACGGTCACCAGCAAGCATACAAAACTGTTCATGTGTTCCCTTTGAATTTCAGTCTTAGAAAGGGGTTTGACCTGATGGGCTGACTTTTCTTACCTTGCTGGCTCCAGTGCAAACGGCTAAACGGTCTGTGTTTTTGTTGGGTCTTTAGTTAAAATAACATGGAGAAAAGCAATATAGCTATTTCCAATACAGAAAAAGAAATATACAGAAATAAAACCCAACTCTCCTTCGTATTACTCTACTATGGTAATAACTCTACTGAGTATATTTCTATGGACTAAAACCGTCTAATAGAACTTTCTGTGATGATGCTGTATATCTGCACTATTCAATACTGTAGCTACTTGCCATATGTAACTGTTAAGTTCTTGAAATGTAGCTAGTGGGACATAAAGAACTGATTTCTTAGTTGTACTTATTTAATTTTCATATATTTATGTTTAAATATCCACAGGCCATTAATGGCTAACCTGTAGAACTACACAGTTTTGAACCTTTTTCTCTATGCTTAAATGATATATAACTGAATATAGTGTGTATATGTGTTGGGTTTTTTATTGTTGTTGTTTTAATGAAAATGACATTATAGTATACTTTGTAGCAAACTAAATTTAGAATGTATATGATCCTTTCTCATATTGTAAGGTACTCTTCTACACTGACTGCAGAACTGTTAAAATCTCTGGGGCACATCTTTATTATTTCTTAGGATAAATTACAATAAGTGAAATTGCTGGAGCAGGAGTTGTAAATAGACACAGGAATATTTGTTGTTAGGTGCCGACTCACAGCGACCCTTTGTAAAACAGAAGGAAACACTGCCCAGTCGTGGGTCAGCCTCACAATTGGTGCCATACTTGAGCCCCACTGATGCTGCCACTTGGACAATCCATCTCGTTGGGGGTCTTCCTCTTTATCTCTGACCCTCCACCTTACCAAACATGATATCCTTCTCCAGCACCTGGTCCCTACTAACAATATGTCCAAAGCATGAGAGACAAAGTTTGGCCATCCTGGCTTCCAAGGAACACTCTGGCTGCACTTTTTCCAGCACAGGTCTGTTGGTTCTTTTGGCAGTCCACAGCTTTTTTAACATTCTCTAACACCATAACTCAAATGCATCAATTCTTCTATGGTCTTCCTTATTCACTGTCCAGCTTTCACATGCATATAAGGTTATTGAAAATACCATGGCTGGAGTCAGGCGCACCTTAGTCCTCAAGCTGACATCTTTGCTCTTCCAACACTTTAAAAAGGTCTTGTGCAAATTTGCCTAATGCAGTATGTCATTTGATTTCTTCTTGACTGCTGCTTCTGTGAGTGTCGATGGTTGATCCAAGAAGAATGAAGTCTTTGACAACTTCAGTCTTTCCTCCATTGATAAGAGTGTTGTTATATTGGTCCAGTGATGAGGATTTTTGTTTTCTTTACATTGAGATGTAATTCATATGGAAGGCTGTTGTCTTTGATCTTTTTTAGTATTTTAAGTCCTCTTCACTTTGAGCAAGCAAAATTGTATCATCTGCATATCACAGGTTGCTAATGAGTATTCTCCAATTTTGATGCCATGTTTTTCTTCATATAATCCAGTTTCTCAGATTATTTGCTCAGCATACAGGTTGAATAAGTATGGTGAAAGAATAGAACCCTGTCACACTCCTTTCCTGATTTTAAAAACCATTCAGTGTTCCCACCTTCTGTTTGAACAACTGCCTCGTGTTCTCTGTACAGGTTCCTCATAAGCACAGTTAAGTGTTCCGAAATACTCATACTTTGCCAGAATACTCATACTTTGCATTGTTGTCCATAGCTTGTTATGATCCACACAGTCGAAAGCCTTTGCATAGTCAATAAAGCATAGGTAAACATCCTTCTGGTATTCTCTACTTTCAGCCAAGATCCATTGAACAGCAGCAGTGGTATCCCTCGTTCCACATCATCTCCTGAATCCAGCTTGAACCTCTGGAAGTTCTCTGTCAATGTATGATTGTAGCCGTTTCTGTATTACCTTTAGCAAAACTTTACTCACATGGGATATCAGAGATAATATCCAATGATTTCCACATTTCTTTGGGTCACCTCTCTTTGGAATGGGCACAAATACGGATCTCTTCCAATCAGTCAGCCAGATAGTTGTCTTCCAAATTTCTTGGCCTAGATGAGTGAGTGCCTTCTGTGCTGCCTCACTTTCTTGAAAGATTTCAATTTTTATTTCATCAATTCCTGGTACCTTGATCTTTGCCAATTCCTTCAATGTACCTTGGACTTCTTCTTTCAGTATCATTGGCTCTTGATCACATGCTTGAACTGGTTAAACATCAACCATTTCCTTTTGGTACAATGACTCTGTGAATTCTTTCCATCTTGTTTTGATGCTTTCTGCATCATTCAATAATTTGCCCAGAGAATCCTTCAATAACGAAAGTCAAGGCTGAATTTTTTTCTTCAAGTTCCCCCAGCTTGAGAAATGCTTAAGCGTGTTCTTCCCTTTTGGGTTTCTGACTCCGGGTCTTTACACATTTTGTTGTAATATTTGACTTTGTCTTCTTGAGCTGACCTTTGAAATTTTCTGTTCAGCTCTTGTACCTCCTCATTTCTTCCATTTGCTTTAGTGTGTCTACACTGGAGAGCAAGTTTCAGTGTCTCTTCTGAATCCATTTTGATCTTTTCCTTCTTTCTTGTCTTCTTAATGACTTTGGTCTTTCTTCCTGTATGATGTTCTTGATGTCATCCCACAACTCTTCTGGTCTTCACTCTTTAGTGTTAAATGTATCAAATCTGTTCTTCAGATGATCTCTGAATTCAGGTGGGATATATTCAAGATCATATTTTGGCGCTCATGGACTTGTTTTCATTTTCTTCGGCTTCCGTTTGAATTTGCATACAAACAATTGATGGTCTGTTCCACATTCTGCCCTGGCCTTATTTTGACTGATGATATGGAGCTTTTTCCACTGTCTCTTTCCACAAATGTAGTCATTTGATTTCTGTGTATTCTATCTGGTGAGGTCCATGTGTATAATCGTCTCTTATGTTGTCTAAAGAAGGTATTTGAAATAAACAAATCATTGGTTTTGTAGAATTCTATCATGCTATCTCCAGCATCATTTCTATCATCAAGGCCATATTTTCCAACCACTGATCCTCCATCTTTGTTTCCAGCCTTTACATTCCAATCACCAGTAATGATCAATACATCTTGTTTGCATGTTTGATCAACTTCAGATTGAAGAAGTTGGGAGAATTCTGTTTCATCCTCATTGGCTTTAGTGGTTGGTGCGTAAATTTGAATAATAGTGGTATTTATTAACTGGTCTCCCTTTAGGTGCATGGATATTATCCTATCACAGACAGCGTTGTGCCTCATGACTGATCTGGATATGTTCTTTTTGACAATGAATACAACACCATTCCTTGTCAGTTTGTCATTCTCAGCATAGTAAACATTGTGGTTGTCAAATTCAGAATGTCCAATACCAGTCCATTTCAGCTCACTAAAGCTTAATATAGCAATGTTTGTGTGTTCCATTTCATTTTTTACAATTTCTAGTTTTCCTAGATTTATAGTTCATGCATTCCATGTTCTGATTATTAATGGGTGTTTACAGCAGTTTCTCCTTATTTTGAGTTGTGCCCCATCAACAAATGAAGGTCTCGAGGCCTTGACTCCATTCATGTCATCACAGTCAACTCTTCTTTGAGGAGGCAGCTCTTCCCCAGTCGCGTTTTGAGTGCCTTCCAGTCTGAGGGTCTCATATTCCCGCACTATATCTGACAGTATTCTTGTGCTCTTCATCATGTTTCAGTATTCAATAATCTGGTGCTGACAGTGTTCCACTGCTATTCATAAGGTTTTCAGGGACTAAAATACTCAATAAAAGTAGTCCGTCTCTCCTTCCTACTCTGTCTTCATCGGGAAGCTCAACTGAAACCTGTCCACTGTGAGTGGCTTGCTGATATTTAAAATACCTGTGGCATAGCTTGCAGAATCACAGCAACTCACAAGCCACCACAGTACGACAAACTGACAGGTGGGTGGTGGCACATAGGTGTAGGTAACCTGTAGTTGCCTAGAAACTTCATGACACGTTACTACAAATACTTTAGCATGTTCCTCCTTAGAACAAAAATGTCTTCAGTGTAGTCACAGTAAAACCCTCATACTCCAAAAGTCTAACATTGATATAGTCCTTATTCAGAATTTCTACAGTTATCCCAATAATGCCTTTTTTGTTTTTAAGGTGGGTCATGATAACTGGGTACGTGGAGTTCTGTTCCATTCTGGGGGAAAGTTTATTTTGAGTTGTGCTGATGACAAGACCCTGCGTGTATGGGATTACAAGAACAAGCGATGCATGAAGACCCTCAATGCGCACGAACACTTTGTTACCTCCTTGGGTATGTATGCATTATGAGGTATCTGAACAATTAGATAATGGAATGCCAGCCATAAAAGTTTACCTATCCACATGGACTTTCCCAGGTAAGAAATATGCCTTCGTAGCACAACAGAGAAGGCACGCTAAAACTTTTTGGATTCCTCTGATGTATTTTAAATTCTCCTTTCCTTAACTCTGTCTTAATCACTCTTTTTGCACTTTTTCCATCATTCAACATTGGTTTTAGATACTAGAATTATGAGGTGGAACTTAACCATTCTGTTAGTTTCTAAGTCTGAAAGGAAATGTTACTCAAACATTTCCCTATGACAGTTATACTATTATGTTCTAGGAATTGAATATAGTTTAAGATAGTGACTGCAGAAAGAGGTAATGCATGAAATATGAAGGAGAGCCCTGGTTGTGCAGTGCTGAAGCACTTCGCTGCTAACTGAAAGATGGCAGTGTGAACCCTGCCAGCCACTCGACAAGAGTGAGCTGCTCCCATAAATATGACCACCTTGGAAACCCTAAGGAGACCATTGTACTGTGCCCTTCAGGGTGCCATGAATTAGACTCGACTCCAGAGCACACGATAACAGGTTATGGTAGACCTAATGAGGAAGAAAAACCTTAAGGAAAAAGAGCTAATAACTTTCAGCATGGTTACAAGGCTTAATGCTGAATTTAAGGCATTAATACTAAGCCTGAGACATAATTGTTGTTGTTAAAAGTGCCTTCAAGTCGGTTCCAACTCATAGCAACTTTGTGTAGGGTTTTTGAGGAACAGCTGATGGGTTTGAACTGCCTGCCTTGTGGTTCACAGTCCAGTGCTAATTCTACACCAGGAGTCCAGGGTATAATTAGTGTTCAATAGATGGACATATTTTTGACTATCCTTGTTAGAGTTGAGTGTTTATTTAGCAGAGATGAATTTGTGTGCATTTGCAGTGAAGGATTAATGTAGGATTTAGTCATTGATCCTCAGTTTCCCTGAATTTAGTTAGGGTGTGGGGGGATGGGCATGTGTGTGTGTTGTTACTGTTGTTAAGTGCTGTTAAGTTGTCTAGTGAAGGATTAATGTAGGATTTAGTTATTGAACATCAACTTTCCTAACTCAGTTGAGTATGTCTACATTATAAAAATGATTTATGCAAAAAATGAAACGAAATGGATTTCCTGGCATTTGAAGTTTCTTATTCTTGTGGCTTGTTAAAAACCTTTTCTGCCTCCATCTGCTATTAAAATAAGCCTTTTCTTTTCTTCCAGATTTCCATAAGACGGCCCCATATGTGGTTACTGGCAGTGTAGATCAAACAGTAAAAGTGTGGGAGTGCCGTTGATTGATTCTCATTGGGCCCCTCCTCCCTTTTTTCCTCTGGATGCACTCTGATGATACCATGGTTACCCCATTGAGCTCTGTTTAAATAAATATTGTCCTTTCATGTAAATTATTCTGGATGTAGATTGAGCTTATTAAATGTTACACACAAAGTATTCATGCATGGTGAATCCAAATTGTATACTGTAAATTTACATGCGTTGTCTAGAAGTACCATAGGGTTTTTAAACCTGGGCTGGCATTGGTCACACCAGGCCTGCGAAGGCAGAAGTTGAATGAATTGAACTAGGGCACTAAACTGAATAGTTGACAGTGTCATTTTATGTTGGATTAGTAACTCCTGTTTTCCTTTCTGCTATCTGTTGGTGCCTGACTTTTGATGGCCTCATTTGGGGAAAAGTGGTGGTTATTAGGGCTTTTTCTGAAATGTGTATCTATGTAACATCACTTAAGTGTGCTTAATAAATCTTCTTTAAGGATGTTAGATAATAAGGCTACAATTCAAAATCTTCTCTAAACCATCTATGTAATTAATGGGGATTACACATTGGAATTTTTGTAATGACTCATTTGCCAAATCAATAGGATACATTTGTTTTTGGCAGCCTAGCAAGTCAAAGCTAGTGGTATATTTATGTAAGAAAATGACTGTAAATCTCAAATAAGAAAAATTTCAGTATCTAATATCAAGTCATTTGTTTCATTTGGGTCATAATGCTTTGTAAACAGGTTTAAAAAGAAAAAAACAACAACACTGTAATACTCTAAGCTTTTCCACATTAGACATACTTCCCATTGTACCTTCCGTGTTATTAGACTGTAGAGTGATAGAGCTCCAAGTAGAACTTAATCTCCCCATTTTGTGTGTCATGGTACAAATCACTGTTTGTTTTTGATGTTTTTAGGGATGTGCAATGTGCATTACACAACAGAGAAATTGAAAAGGTTATGTTTGCCCATGTTTAGGGAGTGAAAGAAATAGGTTTGTTTTTCAACATGACTGATATCAATCTGAACTGTTTAACTTACAAGTTTTTTAAAGTGCAGGGTGTAATGGAACGTGCATAAAAATGTGCTATGTTTTCCCTTTCATTTAAATGTGATATTTATCGATATGGATCTGTCTGTAAGTGGGTAAGTCTGTACGTGTATACCATACACATACGACCTTCCTGTACATAGGTCCTAAGGTTTTAAAGAAATGCTAAAACATATCATTAGAATATGTCCTGGTATGGAATACCATGCTTTAAAACAAACCCTTTTTGATCCTAATGCTTCTGAAAAAATTGTGGGAAATTTTCCGTTGAAGGAATATCATTTTATATTCACCCCCCCAATTTGGCCATTCAGCATTTTATACATCCCCTGATAGATATTGTATATTTTGATCCAAAGTTACTATAAGTAGGTTTCAGAGAATTTTTATCCATGACCTTTGGAACAATATTCCATTTGCAGATTGTTAATAAAGAATTCCATTGCTTAGCTAACCAACAGGTTTTTTGTTTTGTTTTGTTTTTGACAAGTTAACAATGAAATAACAATGACAACTTAACAAAGAAATTTATTCTGAATTTGCATTTTATTCATTTTTGTAATTATTGATTTTTTTAAATATCCCATTTAATATTTAATGGAAATTTGGTTTTGGAAAAGACAAAGGGTGAGAGTTAACTTCCTGTAGATACACACAGAGAACAGGCCATACATTTATTAGAAGCAGCTTAAATGTCCAGCTGTGTTTCTTTCTTTCTTTCTCTCTTTTCATAATAATTCCTGAGATACATCTCTGGAAGAGAAAGTGTTTTGAGAACTAATGGCTATATTTAAGGACAATACATTACAATTTAAGCTAATTCCTTAAATACAATAGAATAATTTTCAGGACAACATGCCTCACAACCCTGCTTACATTGAGAAGTCCTCGTTTCCCCTTCCCCCACCTTTAGCTGTTCTGGCTGGATTTTCCTACAGAACTATGGAAAATGTCTTTGTTCTCGTTTGCTGCTATTTACTGCCCTATTTTGAGAAATATAAATACATAGAAATGGTGCATCTTAACATTTGTTTGTACATGTATAAATGTCTTGTATTTTAATTCATTTTAGCATGTAGCAACACAAATTGTTTAAGGGTAAGCCACAACATCTAGAAATCATTCATAAAGATGAACAATAAAAGAAAAAAATGGTACCGATTTAGAGAAGGAAACAAAGCTGCTTCTCTGCTGAGTTCCTTCCCTTCAGCCTACAGTGACTCTTGTTGACAAAGGAGGAGAAACAATATTACTCTGTAAGCGAAGTTATCCTTAACTTGGGAGTTTTTCCACAGCCTGCTGCTTAGTTAAGTTACCGACAGCCTCCATTTAAGAAGCAGCGAACATTGAATCTCAGGGATGGTCCTCAACTGGATCCAAACATAACGAGCCCTGTTTGAATAATGAAGGAGGGTGGGGGAGAGCGATCCATCCACAATCCAGAATCCGATTTGCAAAGGTTTCCTGTACTGTTGTTTGACACTGCCCTGTTGATGCCCTTGCTTGCTGTTTTCTCTGTCTGCTGTCTAACCCTGTGCCTTGCCTGGGATGAGTACAATGATGCAGTTACTGGTGTGTTTTGTAAGTAGAGGGATTTAGTCATTGCTTTAGACGTCCCTGCTGCTTTTTCACATTCTTAATCACATTGGTCATCTATTGAAGAAATAAAACAGCTGGTAGAACTGCATCCTCAGTTGATTCTTGACTTGTGTGTGTGTGTGTGAAGACCAGAACAGACATTCCAGTGCCCGAGAAGTCCTGGCCACGCACTCTTAGAAAGTGCAAGCCACGTTAGCTGTGGCTGAGCCATCCCGTGGAGACTAGTTGCTATTTTACATGGCATCTTGCACTTTAGGAGACTTAAGACCATCCTGTTGTGTCTATGTGTGGTGTGACCAATGGCAGAGCACTCCTCAAACTCACTAGTGTTAGCAAGTCGTCCCGGGCTGTGGAGCGCTCGCTGTAGTCTTTCAGGAGCTTTGGCTCTAGATTCACCATGCCCAGTCTCCTTCCTGTCAGTGCCCTGCTCTCCTTTTCCCCTCTTTCTGTTTCTATGTGAACTTCCAGGTAATATCACTCACTAAATAGTTTTTTTTTTTAACTTATTTGGGGGGGAAAAAAACTATTTAAAAATAAAAAGGGTATTTTGTTTTGTTGACAGTGGTGGCTTGATAATCCTTGAGCAACTGAAGTTTAAAACAAAAAATTGTAGAAAGAAAAGGCACTTCAAATGGTTACATTTTCTGTCCAGCTGTATTTGAGTCCAATGTGTTAATCTAGATGATGCAAAGAATCTTCTGGTAGAGAAGTGATATGTACAAAATCGGTGGAAAAGGTTTTGTGTTTTTTTTCCAGTGGGGGTGGGAAGACGGCAAGGTGGATTTACAAGTCACAACTGGACTGAACTGGCCTTTTTATCTGTCCACTATATCATGTAAGTAGCTGCTTTCTTGTCCTGCCTATCCTTCAGACACCCCTAGAGCTCACTCTGAAGATGTTAGAAGCAAACAAAATCTTCGAGTTCAAAGTTGATCCTGACACTGACGTGAAGGCAAGTGTTGGTACCGTCTGAACATTGGAGAGGTGGTGATTGGAGAAAACAGTTCCCCAGATTGTAAGAGTTAACTGAAGATATCGACACAATTTTAAAAAATCAGTAAAGGAATGTATATAATATTGCTCTTGTGTTTTACAGTAAGATTTGTTGCTCTCAGACTGTGTAAAACAAAATTTATTCATGTTTTCTGCATATTAAAAAAATCTTATCGTACCAATTGGTAAACTATTAAATATGCCTATAAAACTAGATAGTGGTTTTTCTTTTTGGTGTTTAAACCATTGTAAGTTGTGACCTGGTTAGAAACAGGGCTGTGTTCACACTGCACGTGGAAGAGTATGGCAAGCGCTGAGACTGGCCACAAGGCTTTGGGGAAGGCATTGTTCTGGGAGTGCCAGCCATGCCTTTGGGCTGAGGAAGCAGACATCATCAGGTGGTGGCTGCAGCACCTTCTCTGCCCAGCTGCCCTACAGCTGGGCCTAGCCCACTGGAGCCACTTCTGGTGGTCAGAGCCTACCCTTTTTAATATTGTTTATCGTTTTGGCTGAAACATACCAAATATAAGATTGTTGGTTCCACGGTCTTCTGTGTTTTCCACGTGTTAGTTGCCCTGCCATTTACCCAACTAATGTACTTGTTCTGTGCCATCTCATCAGAACTCAGCGACGCTGACCCTGTATATGGTTTCCAATGCTTTTAATCTGTGGTGCATCTGGTAGACTTGTGCTTCACAGTCCAGTACTTATCCTGTGGAGTCACTGCGCTCGCCCTTAATGTACTCTGTTCTCCACCTTTAAGGGCAAGTGCTGAGAGATATAGTGGCTCTTCTCACAGCTCTTTATTGTTCCCACCCACCTGTTGAGAATAGCTTCTCCCTCAAAGTGGAAAGCTGGGCCCAGAGCAATAGGCAGATTGCCTGATGGGAGTTTCTTGCCATCTGAAAACTTTGCATTTCTTTATCAGGTTCTCACTTTCTCCTAGGCCAATGCAAACACTTTCCCTATGGACGGATTCTAGCTTTTTCAGGCTACCCTGATGTGCTGTTTGTCGTACCAAATCTGCCAAAATCTTGGTGGTCTGACCTGAAGAGTGAAGGGCAAAAAAGTGGAAGACAGGGTAGGGGGACTAGCATTGCCCTGGCTCTGGAAGGCTGTGCTTGCCTTCAGATTAGTTTTTGGTAAACAAGACTTGGGTTCAGATTGATAATCCTCCAGTTGATAGAATCCTGCTGGTGCTTCTGAGGCTAGCGGCATCAGCATCACCTGTTAGGAACTTGTTAGGAATGCAAATTTGGGGGCCCCACCCGCAAGTCCTCTAAAGCTGTCAGAGAAGAGCCCATCAATTCTGATGTAAATTTTTGAGCTAATCACCCATGGAGAAATTGAAGTAAATGTCTCCAGTCCCTAGACCTCACATCTTGGACTTAAACTTGCCTCTCAAACACTAGAGTGTTCCTTTCCGAATGTTATCAATATGACTTTGGTTGCCAACCCCTTCTATCAACGGAAGTGGGGCTGGAAGGGCTAGGGGAAGGAAACACCTCACCTCTGAATGCTTGTCAGGTGCCAACACAACGTACTACACACTTCTTTGGTCTCACATTTACCCCTTGCAAGAGGATGGGACACCATCCTGGTGTGGCACTGCACTGCCCACTGCAAAGTCAGAACCGGTTTGACTGCATTTTCCTGGATATGCAATTAAGTTTAGCAGTTGTCTCTATATACTCCCAAGTTTAACCACTAGATTTTAGAGGGTGGGAAGTGAAGACAGGTGTCAACCCTTAAAAGTTAAATTTGATTGTAAAAAAAAAATTAAGCATATCCTTTTATTGTAAAAGTAATATGCATGTTAAGAAAAGGCCAAAAGAAAAAAAATGAGTGGGAAGCAAAAAGACTTTGGTGTTAAATAATAAGGGGGAATCTGATGCAGACCATGCAGACCCGGTCAGGAGTTCAAGTCCCTGTGGGCCCAAGCGTTGCTGATCGTCCAAACCATAGGCTCTGAGGATCAGACTTTAGCCACCTAGCAGACATAGCAAAATGTCCCTTATCTGATTATTCAGTTATGCTGGTTAGTAATTCCATACATGAGCCCTGGATACCCACAGATAAATGTAAAAACCTTCCCTAAAAGCTGAGACTGTAAATTCCAAAAAGGCAAAGTTTCCCCCCCCCCCCCAAAAAAAAGCTAAAGAGGATATAGAGAAACACTGTTAACTGATGGTATGTGGAGGGGATTATAATCAATGTAATGAAACAAGGTATATGAATGTTTGAATGTGAAACCGATGATGTGCCCTGAAAACTTTCACTCAATCCACAATAAAAACCTTAAAAAAAAAAAGACTTTGGTGACAGATTGGGAGGGACATGAAAAGGCACCGTGGGTGTGGCTCATAGTTTAGTGATAGTCCATTTTCCATCTTGAGTAGTTGCCCATCTAAATGAAGACTATAACCTAACACCAGTTCTCACACTAAACCTTAC